TACATGTTGGATTATTTTCATTAGTAACAACATTCCGAAAAATAACTGAGGAGCTCCGCTTTTAGGCTTGCCTAAATCTATATATTATGCTGTGTAAAGATAAGCTTGGTTACCGAGGTCTTATTATACATGGTGTAGCAAAACCTTGCAACTCGATGGGTATGAGGTCATACACTGTGGAAAGTTACATGTGTAAGCCAGTTTCGCATGTACGTAGCTGTTGTTTATTCCATTTATTCCCAATGTCTATGAATGTGATTTAGTTATTAGAAATTCACTTTCATTCACTCCAAATCTACATATACCCGAACAATAGCTAGAAGATTGCTGTATTTTTGGGAGGTGCGGTGGCCTCATGATTAGTGCACTCGTCCCTGGATCGAGCGGTCCGGGTTCGAGCCCTGGCTGGGGACATTATGTTGTGTCCTTGGGCAAGACACTATACTCTCACAGTGTGTCTCTCCACACAAGGGTATAAATGAGTACTGGCAAACTTAGGGCCTCTTCATATGAGCCCGGTCAACCGTGCAGGCTCGGTTTCCGAGATCTTGCCTCGCCACTCTTTCCTCCGTACAAATGTTGATGGGTTCATATGAGAAGCCGGGCTGGCCAGGTTACCAAGATCTCAGTTTTTGCGACCGAGATCTCAGTAAGCGGGATGAAAATTTTCTCATATGAACACTCCAGCCCGGGTAACCGGGACGAAACTTTTTAGACAAAATGGCTTCGCTTTCGCAATATAGTGCCAAAAAATGGCATAATTTTTGTCTTGTATGTATTTCCACTTTAGAAGTATCCGAATTAGCTTTATTAGTAAAGTTACAAGAGTCCACAAAGCTACGACAGCCACGAACGATACAAGTTTATGTTCCACCAGTTAGGTCGTGTTTCTTGGATTTTATCCCGGTCAACTGGGCTGAAATTTCTCATGTGAACAGACAACAAAATTTGTCCTGGTAACCCCAAGCCAGCCCGGTTACCGGGCTCATATGAAGAGGCCCTAACTATGGGGGTAACCCTAATACACCTAGTAGCTTCATGCTACAGAAACCGGAGATAAGGTAAGAATAAAGATCCTAGGAAAAAAAAGGTTTGCAAAACAGTTTCCTGGGGAGTAAACAGCAAAAAACACGTATAACTCAATGCACTCAGCCGACATCAGCGAAGTGTAGAAGGGGTGCCGAACGCATTTTTCCAGGGAGCCTTTTACTTAACCTAGGGAGCCAGAACTTCTTAATTTATGTGAACCATGTCTGAGCAAGTAAGTAGGCTTCGATACCAACTAGAGGTGCGTTTGTTTAGGAAAATTCAAGATTGGATTCTTAAATCCGGGAATGGATTTTCCGTTTCTTAACTAGACAGAGTGATTCATGCAAGATCATTCAGATCTTGGTGCCTCAAAGAACTGATGAATCCTTGCCCAATTTACCGCGTATATTTTATTCATGAGCCACATTGGACGATCGGCCTTTCATTTTGAAATACAATAGATTGAAGAGAGCCAATCAGCATTGGGATCAAGAAGTATGTCTCAAACAATCATTGCCATTTTAGTCTGTCTTCGTGAATTTTGACGTCATTTTTTACCCGTACAATATAAAATTAATAAAAGACCGCCAACTTATCATGCTTTGTGATGTCACCGTGTTTTGGCTCTCCACTTTATCTAAATTACTCCCCTGGAAAAAGGCGCCTGGCATCCCTTTTACACTACTCGCGAAAGCCTCCTTTTGGGTGTACAGACTAGTGCCCGGTTTTCTCATGAATATTACTTTTCGCCAGGCCCTCGCTATTTTGATAACTACATTTCATCTAGCTACGAAGTGGCAAGATACTAATTGACCATCAATGTTATTGGAAAGAGCATACCTCGGAGTCTCGTTTTTTTTTGTGTGTGTTTTTTTTTTTTAACTTTAAAAGTCTTTAAACAGGAAGCAACCAATATTTTCAACCGCACCTTTCACTTGCATAATCGTTTCTGGAAAAACACAATTTGACAGAAAAGGATGTCCCATTAATGAGGAGAAAAGTAAAGTGTTTTAAGGCCATCTGAACTATGCTTGTTCTAATTATAATCACATGAGCGATGACATCCCAAACACAAGGCGACATAGAGCACACATTTGTGAATGTACATCATTATCCACAGATGTAAATCCCCAATGAACCCTGTCATTTTTTACATAAGATCTCCCTTCCCGTTCCTTGATTAAGTATCTTAAAGTGATGCAGAGGCTCTATATTCTGAATTATAGTTGAATAAACAGCCTTATCAGTCAATAAAAGAGCCTGATAATTTAGTAAGATTGACAATTTGAGACCTTGATGTTTAAAGAGTGAAAACTTTGAAGATCTTGGAGGATCAAAAATTGGTGGTCTCGAAATTGGTAACCTTGCCAAGCTCAACATGATCTGTTAATTTCTAGTAGCCATTCTGTTTATCCAAGGAGCTTTTTAGACAAAACCAAATCAATGATATTAAGACAGGGTACATGAAGAACATACATGTACATGCAATATGGTCTGCCCCCTACCTGACTCTCCGTCGTCATTGCTCATCTCAGCCCAGGAATGAAACAACTTGATCTGTTTGTCTTCAGTCAGCATAGCATTGAATAGTGATGCAATCAAGGCAGTCTCACGAAAATCACCTGGAACACTGAAATATTCTGGCTGCAAGGAGATCTCAACAGTAAACTCATAGTTCGCTCTGTCAGTCTCAAACATTTGGAATGCGCTAACATAGTCAGGCTCGATTAGTTCTGCAATCTTTTCCATCTTTGCCATAAAGTGCTGATGGAAACGTTCCTTAGCTTCTAAGTAAGCCATGTGGAATTTTGCACCTTCCTTGATGCTGTCTGCATACTTTTTTAAAAGTGGGTGAATGTCATACAACCTCTCCTTCGCTTCTTCATTAACCACAGAGATGATTGCACTAGTTACTAGCCCCTCCAGCTGAGCTAGAGCCTCTGCCTGATCTTCTGGGCTTACACCGAGGACCTCAGCAGCTGTGGTAACAGAGAAAGGGCCACAGAACAATGAAATTGATACAGCAGACACTTTTAAGCTATCAGTGGGAAGTGAATTGAACATTTCTCTAATTGTTGAAAACTGGCCCTCATCCAGTCCTTCTTCTTCAAAATTAAATGGCTTTTCTTTAGCATCTTCCTCCAATTTTGATTCCTGAATTCTAGCAATAAGATCGTCCGGAGATTTTCGTTCTTGACGCAGAATAGCAGCTAACCCTTTCAAAAGAAGTGGTTTTCCTTCGGAGATGCCAATAAGCTTGTCCTTCTGCTGGGTATTAACGTTAACGAGTACGTTGGAAACTAGGATTTCCTCTGAAGAAGAACTTTCAAGAGAATTCACCTCAAAATTATCCACCCTTTTGGCATCTTCCAATTGAGTCCTAGATGTCAGGAGCAGTTTTAGTGATGTTTCTTCGTCTTTCCCTTCAAATCCTGAAAGACTTTCTAAAAATTGACCAAAAGCAGTTTTCAAGTTCTTGCCTTCCTTCCCTTGGCCAGCGGTGAATTGTTCAACATTATCGAGTAAGAAAAGAACTGGCTGATTAAACACTTGAATGTTCTCATGAATTTTTGTCACAACATAATTCTGATCAACGTAGCCGATGGGAACAGTTAGTCCAAGGGAGCTCATCATGTTGAGATAAATGGCTTTCATGTCTTTAGCTTCTCTTAGATCACAAACAAAATGCTTTCCTTGCCATTTAGAACAAACTTTCTTTGCTAGTGTTGTCTTTCCCACTCCAGCCGATCCAAACAAATTCACAACCAGCGACTGTCTTTTAGTTTCAAGCCTTTTCGTAATTTTCTTGATTTCATCTTGTCGCCCTGGCAATTCCTTCTCTGAATCAACTTCCTGCTTCCGAGATTCCTTGAAGCTCTTGATCATTTCCTTGATCTGTTCTTCCTGTTTCGATTTCGGGGCGACAAACTCTTCGATCAGCGTCAGTTTGTTCTCAGACACAAATCCATGCTTCAATAAAAGTTGCAAACTTGACAGCAAGTCTTGACTATCGAGCGAGTTAAATTTGCCTCCATAATTCCTTTTCAGTGATTGCACAACATCTTCTGATTCTGTTGGGTTAACTTCGAAAGATATATTTGTAAAGAGTTCTTGAAACCCTGCCGCCATCTTTAATCGCACTGCTGACCGAAATACTGAGCCGCAAACCGGTAAAATAAACGTCACGTGAGCGGGAATGGTGAAAGAGTCACGCAAACTCTGCACACGCACCGTTAGGCGAAAGCAATCAGCTGCTTTTCAAGACTTGACACAGCAAACTTCCTCTTCCCATATGAACGTATTAACACGCCCGAAAAAACAGCTTTACGACCTATATGGTCCAACAAACTGTAAACAAGACGGTTATCGGCTCGTTTAACAGTCCAAATCGGATCGACAAACCGTTTCAAATGTCATGTTGGAAAGTTTTCGGACCGTATTCTGACAAAGAAAAAGAACCGAGTTAAGGGTCTGTCAAACCGTACGGATCACGAGGCCGTTTGTACCGGGTTAAAAGACGAATATCAAAATGTGACAACAATGATTAATTTAATCTGTCGCAATGAAAGGAATGGAAAGTAGTTTTCCCTTCTTTGTTCTCGGATTACTCGAATAACAAAAGATTTCTCGGAATCCGTGACCAGCTTCCCGGAATGCCGGAACCATAAAAGAGGGCTCTTGATCTCGGGACTTTGCATCATTTCTGTTATTCAGATTAGAATATTTATGAATATTTGGTAACATGACATCGTGAAATCCTGTTCCATCCAAAATGATAATTGTGCAAAGTTGCTCAGGCTTGTTGATAAAGACAAAATTAAACAATATTTAACTCGCTCCTTTGTCAAAATATGGCAGATTATTACAAGGGTCTTGGAACAATTATTCTTTTTTAATTGTCTTAAGTTTTTTAAACCACAATGTCACATATTTCTTTAAGATGTTCTAGAAATTTCTGATCACTTACTCCAGTACAAAAAGGCAGCTGTCTTGGCGAATGCCTGCATTAATTTTGTGAACAATGTGTCACATATACTTTCTCGCTGGTTAAACAAATGCGTAGATGTCTTGACTAGTAATACCGCGTACTACTAGTTACTCCGATAACTCAAAGTGCTTTGCATAGTTAAAACATATATTGTAGCCGATAGCTTTCTGAGGTAACGGTAGCCTGCGCTCTGGCGCTCATTTTACGACTAATAAAAACAAGCAAACGGTTATTTTTAGGACAACATTGTTCGTATGCAGACGTGTTGTTCATTACGCTTGAGTAGTTTAAATTCTCATTTATATGAAAATAACACAATGGCCTTAGGATACAAAAAACAAACTTATTCATTATATCACAATATATTTAGACCCAAGGCCTATTTCAAACGTCGTGCTACTCACCGGGGTGCTACTGCTGTGTCGAACTAAATTCAAGAATTTAGCTCGGCACGACTACTTAGCACGGCAGGCCTTACCGCGCCGCACGCCAGTAGCGCAACTTGGCTTCAAACGGCGTGTTCTTGCCGTGCCGATCTGAATTCATAGCCTCCTGCATCAGCTGCCGTTGCTTTCTAGCATTTAAAATGGTCTTCAGCTAAGCAAACGTCTTCGGATCTCCTTCGCGACTGTATTAATTTTGACGTTTGAAACCACTACCGTGCTTTTATCACGTAACTGTCGGGCCAAATTCATTTGAGTTCGGCACGGCAGTAGCCGACGTTTGGAAGGGGCCTAAGAAATTCAGAACTGATGCTCTGGTGAAAGTCATTCTTTATGGCTTGCTGCAAAGTTCAACGATGAATGCAGAGTCTAAATAAATCTTGTTTACTCCAGTATCTTCCACTTCGCTTTCGATCCAGCTGCCACCTCTTTCATTATTGCGAACTATTTTTTCTCCGCCTTCCTGCAAATTTCAATGAAGGGGATATCAACACGAAAATGACAAAAGTTTGTTTCCGCCCGCCATTTTCTTTCAAGAGCACTGTACACCGAGGCAGGAGATTTTGTTAGATTTCAAAGACTTGAATTCGTAGACTTCATGACTTTCGTCTAGTTCGCCGTATACGCCAAAACCACGTATGGACGGATCACATCAGCCTGATACCTTGTCAGTACACGCATTAATTCGCACTTTGACTCCTTATCAACCAAGTACTCATACGATCCTTTATCTTCTCCTTTGAGCAAATGTGGTTGGAGACCCTTCTGTACTCGTGTTTAAAAGAAATCCTACCTTAGAAGGCGATCTCTTGGCCTGGCTTTGAATCTTTTCAATCTCAATTTTCACATCTGCGGGTCCTACAAGAGCTTTCAGTGAGGTTAAGAACGGACTTTCCACCCTACATTCAAGATGCTTAAACTGAAGTAACAGGATCTTCGAGCTTATGACGGCTCCGCGTAGACTGACGATAGCTTGGTGAACATTCTGAACTGATGATATTGTAGGTAACTGTAACTCTGTGGCCCTCGTGAACAGGTTTGATGTCATGAATACAGTCGCTGTCAAATGCAGTCCACTGAATTCCGTTCGTATCTCCAGAGGTGCTGCGAAAAGTCGAAGACATGCTGCAAGCCATTATAGTTAACGAGCAACTCACCGTCTTTGAGGGGAAAGAAGACAAATGACCAGAATTCCTATCATATCGTGACTAAACCATAGTTCAAAGCTTCCATTCCAGAGAGCCTTCCAAGTTAAATGATTTTTACGATCAAACAACTTTGAATCGATCTCCTTGATCTTCTGCACAGGTACGTCTTCGGCGAATTGCGAAAATAACAACAAATAATCGTATTAAGCTAAGCTTTAAAACATAACCTCATTTCGATACAAGGATATCCTGATTTCGTTCCAAGTCTTAGGGGAATAAAAACTTTAGTCTTTGAACGTTTCGTTTCCATTTAAAATTGAATTAGAAAAAACTACCTCTTATACTACGGGGTTTATAAGATAGCTTCTACGTTTATTTCACTTCGTTAATAGTGTCATTAACTAAATACCATTCTACATATTTGCACATGTTCCGGCAGAAACGACCCTAAGTGCTTACGTATAAATTAACTTTTTGACTAATTATATTCATTTAATTAATACTATACTTCTTCATAAACATTTTTCCTGTAGCAAAAATACAACTTCCTATTAATATACACAATTTGTCGACGAAGAATAAAACCATATGATAATTTGATATAACTTTCAAAATATTAAAATAAATAAAATACAATAAAACAAAATATATTTTAATCTAATTTTGGACTGAACTTTGTAGGTGTTTAAAAATGTCTAAAATTGGCGCAAAATAGCTAATTGACGCGTCGGACTTGGACCTCTCCGACATTTGCCACTTTAGAAACGAGCGGGAATCAGGAGCGAGTCTCATGTTTCAGGCGTTTGTGGACACTTACTATATGGAGAGACAAAAAATAAATATATCTTCTTAGGTGTTTTGGTGTATAGTATCGCTGTATATTTTTACGAGTTGTGCCGTATTTTGACGAGCCCGTAGGACAAACACGAGTAAAAATATACAGCGATACTAGACACCAAAACATCTAATAAGAGATTTATAACCCAACTGCTGTAGTCAATAAATTTATCAATGAAAGAGGGAGAGTGTTACAGTTTTGCGTGCGCGTGCCAACCTGTACGGCAAACAGGTTTTCTACTGTACAATATCGCTGTATATTTGTACTGTTATTTGGACGGTATTCGCTGCAGTTGGATAATAAAAACATTTAATATATTGTTCCCCGTAACCGTCCCACAAGCGACTGCCAGATGAAGCTCGCCTCGGGTTTTTTTCTGGTTTCTGAAGTGGCGAATGCAAATTCAGTCAGTGTACTTCAAAGACGGTCTTGTAGGTAAGCGTCACGAAGGATGACCCTACATGCAGCAAGAATTTGAAAAGAGACGAATCTAACCGATATATAAAGACGATTTGTTAGAGTGAGCGAACAAACATATCCTAAAGAAAGGTGAGGACAAAATGTCATTTCGTGCTTTAAAGAAACTTAGTTGGGAAGGAAAATTAGAAAACGTTCCTTCKACCAAGGTATTTAAAATATAACCAATCAGAATACAGGAAGGACGTTACTCGACGGTACCATCCCCGACCGGCCCATGGTGTGCTGCGCGTGTGTCGCAGTGATAGTGTTGGCCACTGTGTTTGCTATGGCATGGTATAAAACAGTTATACAACGCTTTCCCGTAGTTTAATAACCTCTTACTAACCAACCGGGAGGGTCGTGCTGGGGAATATTGGCCTGAGATCTTCCCAGGTCCGTACAATATTTTCCACTACGGTCAATATTTCCCACTACTACTCGAGTAAGTTAGGTTGGCACGTAATTTATTATTTCGCATTTGCCGGCTTTCGAAAACTTGCAAAGAAAATACAAGTGACTCGTGGGATATACCACGATATACCACGAGAAAGGGTTGCATACATGTAACTAGACTAATCAAGGCCTTTCCTTTCAAAATGCCTGACGTATCATCACAACCAACGTTAACAAAATAAATTATGATCTCTCTGACTGTGACATATTTTCTTTTGTTAAAAGGTCCAGCTCCCCCATGTTAAGCAAATTTACTCTGTTATCTATTATGTCAACTAAACACATTTTGAACTCTCAACTGTTGCATTTTTTCTACTGTCAGAAGGTTAAGTTCTTTCATTATATGCCAGTTGATGATACTATAGCCCATGTCCGTTAAACACCACATGAGTTCTCTGACGGTGCCATGCCATCGTTTGAGCGTCACGCGACAACGATCCTCGCAATCAGCTCTTTCTTCTTCAATGCTATCCATGACAGCCTCCTTGACTTTTAGCTTACTAGCAAGTTTTCTCCATAAACGACCAACTTTTTCAGCGACCAAAGAACGTAAACTTTCATCGGGCGAAGTGTTGACCAATGCTTCAGCTGAAAAGATAGAATCAAATTAAGAAGCAACCACAAAGTTAGTCTACGGTATCAATTCTAACATTAGTTTATTTGCTCACGTAAGGCTTAAGAGTGTTTATAGTCCGGTAAACATCGCATGTGAGAAAAGGCTATGTAACATAAAGGGAGAGAAAATGTTACATATTTGGATTAGAACAAAAATGTTTGAAGCCTGAGTCAATGTAATACATGATGGAATAGCCAGACTCCTCAAATGGGAATACTTACTGAAACACGAGCCACCATCGCGGAAACAAAATGGCAAACAAGTTTCCCTAATTCATCCTCGTGTTTCCTTGAGGTTAACAACGCGCAGGATTTTAACTCGCTAAGATAATTGCGTTTACCTGTAAGGAGACGATCTGTGACGTGCTCCACTCCCTTCCCTTCCCCTTTCAGAAATCCAACAATGCTATTAAAACACCTTTGTTGATTCTCCAGTGACAGCCTTGCGAGATCCCCGAAGAAATCCGTTACATCAGCCCGTTTGGAGGTTCCCGTAATATGACGTTCATAAATGTCTCTCCGGTCTATTTCCTGTAAGACACCATTGCATGCCGCTAGCATTTGCGTCAAAGGAGCGTCGGTGAGGTCACTGTCATCTAATGGGACACCAAAGAACTCTACAGGAGTTTTCTATAAACGAAACATATCATTAGCAGTTTAGAAGCTTTCCACAAACAGGACTAGACTGGCGGCGGTCTATCGGGTGGGGAAAATCAGGCGAGATGTTTCAGACTAGAGGGAATTGGAACGAGACATGAGCGAGGACACTCACTATCGTATCTACGAGGCTCGTACCTCTCGAGGAATGTCTGTGTTCTTTTTGATTGGC